GGAGTTTGTTGATTTTTATTTTGGTTTAAATTATTCTGAAGACCTTATATTGTAACTTGTTATAACAACATATATTTTGATATTCTAGAACCTTTTGAAACTCCTGAAAACAGAAAAAGAACATAATGAAAAACTAACATTACAATTACAAAAAGACAAAGAAAACAATTCAAAGTAAGTTTTAATTATTGGTGGGGATTATTTTCATCTGACTTCATTGGTTTTGTCCTATGCTAGGTTTTGTATTCAGATGGGGATCCTATTTGTAGAGGTGTTTTTCCCCAGTTGGGTGGAGATAATTACATAATGGGCTTTTTTATTTTATCCAGCTTAGAACAACACCTCATTTTCATGTATTCAATTAACATGACAAATGTAATTTCATTACAAGTATAGTTCTTCACGTCAAAGATAAAGTTCTACTACTGATAGCAGTGTATGGCTAGTAACTAAACTATTAGTCTTTTGTATAGCACTGAGAAGGTGATAGTTAAAGAACTCTTCAAAAAAATTAAGTGCAAATAAGAATAAACTTATATGACTTGATTCTTGTTAAAGCTCTCATGTTCTAATTATATTTCTAAATAGAAATCTGTTTTCTTCCCCAGGGAGCTCTTGAAAGTACTTGAAAAAGCACAGGTGGAGAAACCATCCTCTGAAATGGTGACACAGTGTGAGCAGCAGGTACAACAGCAGAACCGAATGACTAAATCGTGTGTTCTTGGATTTTCTTGTGTATTAATAGCAATTTTATTGGTGAACTGACTGTTGTGTAGATTACCAGCAAAATAAATGTAGAGTTCTCAAGTTTCAGATTGTTTTGTTAAGCTACTGCTTAATTTTTCTGGTAAGGTAAATAACTTAATTCCTTCCATTTTTTTTCATGGCTTTGTGCTTTACAAAACATACTTCAAATAATTAAGTCTTTCCTTCACAATAATTATTTCTTCTAGGAAGCAAAACTGCAGAAATTGGAACAGGCACTGGCTGCTGCTGAAGAGTTTATTGTTTCTTTGAAGAAGACAAATGATGCGGATAAGGTTTGGGCTTATTTCTGTTAATGATACCCAGTTTTGCAGGTAACTACGTTCTGTAGTAGAGTTGAAAGCCCAGAGCCTTTCTATGATACTTAATAATTCTGTGATTCTAGGCAATCCTGGCTGTGTATCTAGGTAAAATAAATCCTACCTTTTACTGGTATGGAGTTTGCAGGATAGTAGGAAACTGGTATGCATTCAGAGAAAACACAAGATAACTGAAGGTTAAACAAAAAAAAAAAAACCCCAAGGTAAAGTTGTCTACTGGACAAAACATTCAATGCATAAACGATGCATAATTCCCCCGATGATTAATAGGGCCTTCCAGTCAGTGTCATGTTGTAATGGGCTAATAGAAAAGGTAAGAAAGGTGATGTAAGAATGTGACTGTGGGAATCTTTATTAAGAAAATCAAAGCACTTTTACATGAAAAGACTGCTCTGGTGTTCTGAAAGCTTAAATAGCAAAAGTTCCCATAGTACAAGCATTTATGCTGTATGTAAAAAAAGGCATAAGAAATCACATAGTGTGTTTACTATCCAGCATGATGCACTGATAAGTCTTGCTTTTTCCATGCTAAAACCAGAAATTTGACGTGTATAAGGTCAGAATAATCTGGTATTGTCAGTGCAGTGGCGTTTCTTGAATGTGCCTTTTTCCATTACAAAAAAATGTAACCTTAAACTATAGTACTCCTATTCTCTATTCGAAACCCATTACAGCCTGAGACTAAAATCAGAGGGCTAGTCTTCTCTTCTAATGAATACAGCAGGTTATTTAATTCTTTATGTAAGTGCTTAGAACAAAAGCCAATGATTTAACAACAAATTTCCTGTTACTCCTTTACATGTTCATATTGAGGCCTCATTTTCAAATGGCTGTTTGAAATTTGGGATTGACAAATTATACACCAAAGAAAGTCCAGTAATACATTATATATATATTATATATATTTTATCAGGATTAACTTTTTTGTGTTGCAGGAAGTTGTAACTGACCTGATGAGACAGATCCAGGAGCTGAGGTCTTCAATTAATCATAAAACTGAGTCCATAGATGGGCTGACAAGAGAGCTCGAGGATATAAATGTATGTTCTGTCATTTTGAAGGACATGGTATAGTTTTTCAGAAATGGAAGGCAATGACATGTCTTATCATGGGTCTCAAACAGCGTAACTTACTGTAGCATTTTAGAAGGAAACTTCTTTGTTTTGACATGTTGAAATCTTCTGAACATTTTATGCCTAAGGCTGTCTTGAAAACTGAACTCTTTCCACATCGTGGGTAAAGAGCAGTGTCTCTAAAGGGACCTATTCACATCCTGTAAACTACACTCCGCTGACAGTCACACTTAGATTTTCCCAGAAATTGGCAATTTAAGACCTCAACAATTGAAGCTGACTTGTAAATTTTTGAGGGATTGAATTTTTATGTTGCTATTACTATGTTCTACATCTGAAAACATAAGTATAAAGAACTAAAACTCTGTATTTGAATAACTATGAATAAATATGATGCATCCTCTTTATTAAAATAGGTCTGGTTTGCAAACTGATAGAGCAACCCACAGAATGCTTTAGATACTGTATATGTATGAACTATGAATTCAAAAGGTCCTACAGACAAAATGTTGATGAGACAGATTTCTACATATCGTTATCAGGTTTTTTTCAATAGTGGTTTTAGTGGTTAATATGTACTGTGGTTGGTTAATACTATTAAATTAATCTTTTTCCATTGTTCTAACAACTCATTTCTAATAACACAGTTTGTACAATTTAGGAAGTATGATATATTGTTCTGATTTTAGTCACTGACACTGATGAGACTTTACACATCTGTAGCTGTCATAATAAGATTTGTGATATACATTTATTTGTATTATGTTTGCCAACTTTCTTTGGTAACATGTTTTCCTAAAATATTCTAAAATTTAATTTAATCCTTTTCATAGTGCAAGTATAATCTTGTTCTGGCTGCAAAAGAAGAAAGCAAAGGCATCATAGAGGATCAGGAAAAGAAGATTGAAGAACTGAGGGAAGCCTTGGAAAGAAGACAAATAGCTGATAACATTGAGGTAAAAACATCAATGTTGGTATATTTTGATTATTTGTTCAACAGACCAATTGGATGTGGTTTTGCTTAAAATACTTGTGTAAAACTTAACCTCATTTTAGTTCAAACTAAAGCTAGTTAAGCTGTTCTTAAAGAATTTTTCATGATATACCTGACATTCTGTTAAATCATCACATTACTTGACATAAATACTTTATAAGCTACTTCATAAAAACCTATGCTAAAAGCCTGGTTTAATTTTGTTAAGGCCACTAAGGAGTCATCAGCTGAATTTAATGGCAACATTAGATGATGCAGCTGAGAAATTAACATAGGTAGAAAACTATATTATGTTTAATATAATGTCTTCCCCCACTGCTACTATATTCAGTAATATCTTCTCTTTACTCATAATTTTAACTGAAAGCTCCACCTGCTGGAAACAGATCTAGGATGCATGGTTGATTCAACTGCTGTTTTGCTTTTTAAAATTGTATCTTTCTTTTTTAACTTTGTCTTTCCTGTTACTGCTCTCACCATTATTTTGGTGAACGTGTCCATCAGTCAAAACCACCAGCCTCTCCTTACAAGTAATTTCTATAAGATCATCTGTCACATTACATATGCTTAGTCCAATCATATAGCACCAATAAAGTCTTTCAGAGTAGTGCTTGCTTCTCAAAAGGCATTCTTAAATATATTTCCACTATGTTTAATAAACAGACTATCTTCATTAATAATGATATCTAAATTTGACATTCTGGAATCCTAAACTGAGTTGCCTACCAAATGGATCACTTTCTGGTTTTGGGGTTTGTTTTTTTTAACTGAAGCAACAATTCTTATTACACTGTTATCCTTGGGCGTAACTGGCTCCTGATAAAATCACAGTGTTTCTCCTTCTTTGACTTTGTACATCAGTTACTAATTTCCTTCATGCTTTCTTGACTGGACAAAAACAACTAATCCAAGGTGGCATTTAAAATACTAAGCACTGTTTCTCCTTTAGGTTAACATGCCTTGTGTAGGTATGATGCCCTATCAGATGGGGTGGGAGTCTAGATCCTAGAATAAATCCAGAGGTATCTATAGAATAGCAGTGCACTAAAAATCTGTAATCGCTAATTTAGCATGGATTAAAATCTATACATTCTTTTCTGGTTTCTTATTTAAAGAATTGTATCTCTTTAAGTATACGTTATACACTAAAACAGTGATTGATTCCAAATATCTCCCACAAGTATCTAACTGTACCTATACTGTAGGAAAGTTCTCATTTTTTTTCTGCAACCAAGACAATGGATATGGAAAACATGCTAAAATAAGAAATTTATAGATGAATGCTTGCTACAATTCATAATGAAAAAGTGGAGGGAAAAGGGAGATGCTTGTAGCTGTTAGCAATCTTAGCAACAATGACAAAACATCTTGAAACAACTGCTTTAGACTAATAACTTTAATATTTCTTTGTTTACTCATCCAATGACTTAAAATAGAGAGACCTTCTGTGTGAAGACTTGCATCATACCATTGATCAGCTGAGAAGACTGACTGAGGCCTCTAAGAAACATGATTCATTGCTTCAGTGTGTGCAGGAAGACGTAACAAAGAAAGAAGCTCTAATCCAGGAACTCAGGGAACAGGTAAAACAAGGAAATTCTTCTCATAATTAGCTCCTTGGGAGGGAGCTGTGGTTAATTGTAGCTTCTGGAAAAGGTTTTACTTGTAATTTTAGAGCATCTTGTAAGCAGTATTCTTGGTGAAGAGCAATGCTCCTTTCTGTAAAAGCAAAGCAGTAGTTCAAAAGCTTCTGAACAAAGGCTAGATAACTTTGGAAATGGTGTCTAGAGATCACAAAAATGTTTACTCTGAAAGCAGAGTTAAATTATCAGTACCTATAACAACAGAGCAACCTGAGGTTATAAGCAGCGTAACCTAGGGGATTACTTCTTCCTCTGCTTAACACTTACCCACAAACTATATCATTATGTAGTGGAGATAATTGTTGAGCTTTATACATTACACAGTCTGAGAGTGATTTGGAGCTTTTGCAGACCAGATAGCTATGTTAAGCCTATGTCCAAATTTTAGCTCTAGCTGTCACAACTGTCATAATGCTAAGTAACATATTTGTGTTGGCAAAAACTAAGGATAAGTTATTTTGGAAAGAAGAGTCCTTTTGTCACCTTAGCATATTCTGTTTGAGGAAACCAATTAAATCTATACCAGTAATATCTTTGTTTGTATCAAATCATGTTTTGAACCAGTAATGTTTGCCAACAAAGTTCATGATAGTTTTTCTGTGCTAGCAAGCCCTTTGAAAGGTAGATTGTGTTAGCAAGGCAAAAAAAAAAAAGCAAATACCAACAACAAGAACAAAATGCAGATTAACTACACAGTATACAGGGTATATATGCTTTCAAAAGATGCTTGTTACATGCAACTATTGAATGATTAATAGTTATAAGGTAAATATAGAAAACAATTATTGAAGTGAAGTCTAAGGTAATCTAAAATAACGTGGTGTACTTAAGCTTGCTCAAAATAGAGATATGGCTGCTGTTTTCTTTAATATTTTGTGTGTATTGTGAGCTAATTTAATTCTAATTGGGGTTTCTAATAGCTGGACAGAATGACAGAAGAACTGGAGAAGACAAAGAATGAATATGAATTAAAAATGAAGCAAATAGATTGCTTTGTGGACTCATCTTCAATAACATTTCCCCAGGTATGGCATTTGTGAGAGAAACATTTTCATCGTAATGACTGTTAAAAGTCATTGAAAAGGACTAAAAGTTTACAGCATGGCTTCAGGCTGGGACCAGAAATGACAATATATTGACAGTGGTCAAATCCCATTCACCTTGTTTGTAACTTAAATGTATTATTGATGATTTGTCTGCCAGGAACTTATTAACGTATGTCTCCAATTAAGTATTAAAACATGTAACCAATACATAGAGGAAACAGTTCTTTGCTAATAATTTGTGGGTTTTGTTTCTCTTAACTTGCCAGTGTCCAAAAACTCCCCCTAACTTCGATGTGAATTTAGCAAAGCTCTTGGAAACTCATGAGCAAGAAATAGCTGATCGGAGGGCATCTGCAATAAATCTGGAGCACCTCGTACATGAACTGAATGAAGAACGAAGAGTTAAAAATGATGAAATTCTAAGGCTGAAGGTACTATGAGTTAATCTTTACAGGCAATTTGTAAGGTTAAAATAAGACAGAATACAGAGTTCAGATTTTTAATGAGCTCTGCTTAGTAGTCTGTCCATTAAAGCAGGAAGGCAGTTCTTGGTCTTCTCTTTAGCTAGGCTGGTAACAAATGGTGACAACTTGCTTGAGATGTCCATATATCTCATTTTCCCAAGGACTGAGTTGTTTCCTGTTCATGAATATCAAATTGTAACATCATTTTTGCTGATGAAACTGTTCTGACTTACTCTAAATCCAGTTTCTAATGAAACGGTAAATGGAAAGGTGATGCAGATCTTTGCCAGAGAACTGTGCTTGTTTTCTGAGAAATGGCTTTGTCTTCTATTTTACTCAGAAACATGTTCAACTGGAAATGAAAACAGGAATTGCAATTTGGTCTTCAAATAAAATGTTTCCAATTTCACTTGCTTAGGAACAATTAAATGAGTTGGAGAACTTGCGTCTGGAAATGCAGATATTGGTGGAGAACAACAGGAATTTACAGAGCCTTGTAGAAGCTCAGAGACTAAGCAAGAACAGGTAAAGTAAAATAAACAAGAAAAACCTGTCTTAACTTGAAGCAGTTAAGTAAGATAAATTTACAGTTTTTATTTGAAATACAATCTTACATATTGTTTATATAATTAGAGATTGACTCAGCCTTTTCTATGAAAATTGTTTACTGGCTTGTAAACTTTATTGCCTTTAAATCACAAATTAAATACAGCAAAGTTTTATAAAGGAAATGTAAATAGAATGTAAAATAATTACATGCGTAGCCATTGCTGTGTATTATATATTGCCATATCACTTGTGCAGTTATGGATGCAGTAGATGGGAAATGTCCAAATGAATTCAACACAAGTTTTAACATAGACATAAATGGAACCAGTTCTCCACCTTGTGTTTTTGAGGGTAAGGAATGAACTTCCTCTGAAAAGATGGTATGCTGCTGTATACCTCAGATTGGAGATATCCTGAGGTGTGGTTCGAACTGTAATCTGTACAGCTTAGTTTTGGACAGAAAACATTTTGTTTCATGGCTTACCTTTTTTGGTTTTTGTTTTCAATTTTGTAAAGAATTAAATAATCTGTTGTTTTACATCTTGTGAAAAGAAATCTGAACTGGCAGCAAATAATTCTGTTGATATTTATTTAATGACAATTCATTTTTAAGGGGCAATTTAGTAAACAGTAACTTAATGCTAGGTAGGAGTTAATCTTTTCTTGCCTATTAAATATGTAACAAAAAAAAAAAAAAAAAAAAATCCAGAATTTTTATCTCTATTTAATGAAGTATCAGTGTTGTCAGTTTTAGAACTGACTTTTTGGTAAGGTAAGTATTTAATGTAAAAGAGCACTATTAAATTTGCAAAATTAAGTATTCCAATTAGAAGATGCTGTAAATTGCAGGTGTCTGTGCAACTCCAATTTGTCCTCGCATTATATGTATTATACAGTAATCTTCAATTATGAAGGGACTCATTTGTGGAAAACACTCTGTGCAGAAGGCCTACTGGGTGGGACAGATCAAGTGGGATACTGAATGATGATGTTGTCTCTGGGGCCTTCTGCTTTGTTTGCGACAGACATTTGAAAGTGTGTTGTGAATTGAAATGGGAATATCAGAAAAACAAGAAGGAGTTACCTTGCCGTGGAAAACTGGATTCTGTGGCTTTGTTTTTCACACAGTTTATGGAGTAGGTTACTTGGACCCAATTTTTCCACAGAAAAGCATTACTTTTATGTTCCTCATTTGCTAGATTCCCAACTTGGGACCTTGGGATATAATTTGGATAAGCGTTAACAATTCCCAGCTGCTGTTAGTTGATAGGAGTTGTGGTTTGAATAGACTGAAGGCTAGTAGTATATTGCATGCTCTCTGAAAAATCAGGTTTAGATATCTCAGGTGGGGATATTCACAACACACACATGCCTCGTATATTATGGGAGCAGCTGATAGCAGCTACAGTTAGTAATCTTTTGTGTGGCCCAGTGTTAGAGAGTGAGATGATTTGATCATTGGTGTCACACGTGACAAAGTCATGAGATGTGAGGATCTTGGACTGCATTGGAGGATGTTTGAGAATACAAAATGAGACCAAGTGCCTGCTCTCTTTTGGTATTTAGTGTTAGGGCAGGGAAGAGCAAGCTGTACAGGAAAGGTCAGCCTTCGCCTCTGTAATGCTAAGCTGGAGCAGGCTCAGTTCACTACTTTGGAGCTGGTACAGGCTGACCAGTACTGGAATTTGAAAGGCTCAAGGATAATCAATGATTCTAAACTTGGAGGTTTTAAAGTTCATGTAAGTATCCACTGAGAAAAAGTAAACAAAGCATGTTGCAGTTTTGTCCAACCATTTATAAGCTAGATGAATTTGGGTGGATTTTGGAAGTGGGTGGTACCAAAATTTAACAAGGAAAATAAATTATTTTCATTTTACTTCTCAGAAGTTGTTAGACTTTTTAAGCTGGCATTTAATTAACATTAACAAAAAAACCACCCACTCATACATATACTTACTTTCTCAGACTGAGGCTGTTTATACCAGATATGAAAAATAAATCATCCTAGCTAGGTATGTTGACAAAGATTTTAAGTTACTGAAGATAGTGATCTTTTATAATTGCGTCAAATTACAATAACTGTTAATCAATGAAGTTCTTCCCTTATGGTATACTACAAGAATGAAGTGGTCCCAATGGTGTGTTGGTTTGAGGGTTATTTTAATTTTATGGTGTTTGCATACTTCCATCCAATGTCATGTTTATTAAAAACTAACAAAATAAAAAGTTTCCAAGTATTCTGAATGCAAAAATGTTTTACCTTCTTAACTTGGCAAGACCACAGAGCAAAGATCTTGTAGGAAGGAATTGCTTTCTGCAGTCTATAGGCACATGAACATCATGAACTAATAAAACGTTTACCTCGATCCCAAAGCTGTCTAACATACATTTGCATAGTTACTACATTTTTAATTGTTTTCATTAAAACATTAGTTTCTCTGTACTCTAACAAAGGAAAATGTGACGTTCTTGGAATATAAAAGTTTAAACCCTTTCAGAGTTGTTTCGTGATCTTCAGTATTCTGGGTATGAACGTGTCAAGACAACTACAGACATTTACTGGTTTAATCTGGGTAAGATGTTTTTACAACTGGTTTACTCTGAGAAACTTTCCTCATTCTTGGATTTCCTAGTGATCAGAAACATCCTGATGTTCAGTACCTCAAAGAAAAAGAGGAGGAGATTGCTGCAGAACGACTGGCCAAGGTATATCACCCTTTTCATGTAGCAGTCAGTTGCTAGTTCCCTGCTATGAAATATTAACATGTTTTCTTCTGTTTCATGCCAGTGAAACAAACACTGATTTCTAGTGAATTCTAACAGATACAGAGCCTGATACTTACCTTTTAAGGTTTCTGTCTTGGTCTAACACCAGTGAACTGGGTGTCAGATCACACAATAAGTAAAACCAGATTCAGATCACTAAATCTGACTCATCTCCACAGAGCTGGAAAGTGAAGACTGCGTCACTTGCTATGTCAAGGCTCTGCCAAAGGGAAGTTTATGTCGCAACGGAGGTTGCCACAGATCTCCCAGACAGAAGAACTCCCTGCCAGAGCTCTGCTGTGTATGAATGGGCAGAGATATTGCTGTGGGTCATTTGTGCTGGCACAAAATTGGGAATACATGCATATAGCAAAGAGATGAGCTTATAGTGATTGTTAGAGATGTGAGTTACTGGGCAGTAGGATGATTTTGGTAGGATCTGGAATGAGATACTTGGCATCAGTTAAGTGACAAATAATTTTGCATATATATATATGTGGGTATGTATATTAAACATTATGAATGTAACTAATATTTTGACCTCTTACAGAATAAAGCAATGGAGGAGATGCTGAAAATCAAAGCAGAGTAAGTTTAATATTGTTCATTGAGCTGGAGACTTGTATTCAACTCAATACCAAAAAGGTATATTTAAGCAATAGAAGTCCAAGATCTGAAACTATAAAAGATGTAGTTCAGAAATGTTGTTTACAGTTCCCCAAAACACATTGAGTTCTAACTCTTTCTCATCAGTAGGTGGTAGTAGCACCTATTACTATATTTTCTAAAAGGGTAGCATTATATCAAATACTCTGAAATAGGTGGAACCATAGAAAAACTTAAATTGGAAGGGACATTTTGAATTGTTTAAAATTATCTATGTTTTGAATTCTTTTATATGCAGTGACTTCTAGGCACATTCCTTTTCAAATTAAATTGAAATATTAAAGTAGTAAATACTTTATAATTTTAAACTTAATCTAATTCTTTGCTTTTTTTTATGCTATTTGTTTTATTTTTTGCACTTCAGCTTGAATAATGAAAACTGTTTATTGTTAGAGGATTCCTAGATTGTCTTTGCACTATTGTGCAAGCAGTCCTCGAAATTCAAGTGTCTTGCACCTTGGATGGATAGTATTCAAGAAATAAAATACTGAATTAGTAGATGAAAATTAGTTTGAAAATGTTGCTCCTGTTATTCTTTTCCTAATCTGTATTGCTTCAGGGACTCATAGCAGCTGAATCTCCTAATATTTCAGTTATTTACATTTAATGGAATGCTTTCTATGCAAGTAACTTCTTTTAAGGATGAAGATAGTTTTTATGAACACGGTCATTTCAAAGTAATTTAGACTAAGTTTTCCAGAAACCTTAGTCTTGATTAGGGGTTATTTTGCTATTCAATGCATTGGTTTTTCATACCTGTCTGGTCTCTGAAATACACTTTGTAACAGTGTTACAATGTCTCATACAAACTAATAATGCACAAAGACAAAAAAGATTCTTTTGTCATCAAGAAAATGTCTTGACAAATGCAACAAATGAATACTGTTTTCATACAGTAGGTCTTAAACACCAGGCTTCAGTGAAACACAACTGATGACAAAAATATTTTAATTTATGCAACAGTTGAATAGATATGCAAAATTACTAAAGTTCATATAATCAGTAGACAGGCTGCTAAGTTTGGCGGCACAGTTTAATATTCTGTGAGCCTGATAAAATTAAAACATTTTCAGCAGACGAGACATCTATCCAAAGTGGTGGTCCTTCTGTTATCCGGCCAAACAAGCTCAGACCATCTCTGAGCCGTTCAGAGATGTTTCTGAGCAACAAGGCTATTGGGGAAAAGCCATGTACAAACAAGCAATTTAGGGGAAATTTGAAGAGCAGCCGATTTGATCTGGCAAATTTACATGCCTTAGATGAATTCATCGTGTTCTTGTAGGTGAAGCTTCTGTTTTCTTCCCTGAGTGGACTCGTATGGAAACAGCATACTTCCCAAAAAGAAGAGCAACTCCAAAACACTGTCTAGTTAAGATATTGTATCAAACTCGAGAGCTGTGACGCAGAATGTAATTTTTCCTTCTGTTAGCACTGAATTCTAGGGAAAATAAATTGTCTTAAAAGGGTATTTTTAGAAGAGTCTGCCTACATGTCCAAGGATGACTTACTAATTCAGTTGTATGCCATTTATGTTGTTTTTTAATATTATATGATGCTTTTATATTGGCAGATTAGAAGACACCAAAAATACCCTCAAAATCAAAGAGAATACTTGTCTTGAAATGACTCTGGAGATGGAACGAACAAGAGCATTGGAGCTGAAAGCATTCCATGAAAAAGAAGAAATTAGATCAAAACTGGAGGAAACATATGAAGAGAGAGACAGAATTGGAAAGGTTCTATATGTATAATTTTTTGTTGTCTTTAGAATCTTATTCAGCAGAGGTAGAGCTGTTGCTAATTGGACAGTATTCTGAATTAATTAGCCATCAAAGACTGCCTCTGAAAAGGTTTTGTCTTGCAGTGTAGTTATATTTGTGACGCTGTTTCCTGCACTAGCGGAACTGGGTACAGAAATCACTGTTGCAATTCGTAGTACAAATCAAATGATGCTTTTGCCCTTTAGAGGTATCTGATGTAGTACCTAAGGAGACATAAAACAAATATGTATTTCCCGAATGAACCAACTCTTGCATCATATAACAAACTTAAATGTTAGTATGTTAATAGTTCTAATAGAAGCTATTTCTTCTGAAAAGAGAAGGAGGGGCTACAGTTAAGAGGTACACAACGTATTTGTTAATTACAGGAAATGGACTTGCTGAGGAAGCAAGTTGACTCTCTCGCCGAGGAGAATGGGAAATTACTTGGGCATCAAAACCTAAACCAGAAGATTCAGTATCTTGTGAAACTGAAGAAAGATTACGCTAAACTTACTGAGGTAAGTGGCAGAGTGGAATACGGATTGAAGTAATGGCCTGACATAGAAGAGAGCTAAGCTTTGAGAATAAAAACTAAAATTCTTGCCCTGCTGTCGGAGACTAATAGGTTCCTCTGATTTTATGCAGTTGTGTAGGTCATGGCTGGCCTGTCTCCTCACAGGCCCCAGACAAGAATCACCCCATTTTATTTCCTCAAGTACATAATGTATAAAACACTTGAGCAAGTGTAGATACCACTTATTTCTAAATATGAAATAAGTGAGTATAATTTCCTTAATACACCCATGTTTTTTCTGTTTTACAGGAGACTGAAAAACTACGAGTTGAAAATGCTTTTTTGAAAGAATCAAAAAAATGTGACATAAGTAGACATCACGATCAGCTACAATGACACAAATAAAACTGCAGAGCCATATTTTTAAAGTGTACAGAATAAGCAAAAGCCAGTTGTCAAACTTTACTTTTGCTGTGGTCCTGGAATAATCAAGTATTTTAGTTCCTCTATTTTTTGCTGGTAATAACTTTTAGTGAAGAATTTTACTCCAGCTGAGTGGGAAGCTTTCAAAGACCTTCCTATAATTTTTCAAAAACTGATTTTGTATAAGTGCTGGAAGATACTACCTTGAAACTTTCGTACCTTGCCAAGGAAAAGCTTTCTCACTGGGAACACACCTGGATTTTTGTTGCCTTTTGTGCTTTTATTCTTCATTTTCCTACCTCTTCTGAAATGCTACGTTTTCTAGCAGAGCCGAATTTTTAAAATTTCTTTGAAAAATTTTTTTTAAGCTAAATATAGGGTGTTTTTACTGGGTTAAAATCAATTTGTCAAATTTATTAACCATTAATACTTATGGGTTGCTTAAAAATACTTTTCATATTGGAGTTTGTTTAATAAAGCACAAATGTGAATTTAGTAATAGACTTGTAAATAGTACTATAAATATCTTTTGGCTTTATATTCTTTTCTTTCTCTATTTGAAATGAAAGTACTTTTTAAACACTTTTTCCCAGCATAAACTTACAGCAGACTCCTAATTAGCATTGTAGGAAATTCTTTTGAAGTATTTTGCAACCATTTTCTTATCAAACAAAAGTTAGAAATGTTAAGAAACAAGATCTGAAAATACGCAGAACATTTTAGGAGTATAGCATAAGTTCATTTAATCGCGCTTAAGGTTAATTGCAAATAACTGAAACTTTTATTAGTGGAACACAAAACATTGATTTATATACCAGTATCAGACACTGCTTTTTTTACTGTCAGTAATGCCATCGTTCTATTTTTGGCTACTTTGTACAATACTACCTTTGCCCACAAGCAATGGGGCAAAAGGGAATGAAGAGAAAGGCGTGTGTCAGGTGAAGGGCAGGATGCCTAGGGAGCTGCTTCAGTATTTGGCTGAGGGGAAGAAGAATTTCCCCCAGCTTATCTATTATTTTAAGTTGCCTAATCCTGCAGATTGTGATGCGGAGTATAGAAGTGAAAAAATTGACCTTAAAGTGGGGCGGTTTTGTTTTTCCTGTAGACAAATGATAATGGAGATCAGAAGTAACTAACGACGATTACTAGCACTCTAGAGGGGTTTGTCTTGGACCACAACGCTGTTGTCCCCTGTGGCCTTTATTTGTTATTGCCATGTTCTAGGTTTACAAACGTTCCTCGGAGCACCTGTCTGCCTTGTTGTGACTGTTCCTGGACTATGTCCGTGCAGGCAGGGTGTTCCGCCCCTCCCTGCCAGGGGAGGCACGATCCCTGCTGCACGCTGCTTACTCGTCAGCCTTTCTGTGTGGTATGTCTACGGTAGGACTTGCATTGTTCTCATACTCCATCCTTTTTTTAAAAAATAAAGCCTTTGTATATAAATGAGCACTGCACACCTGCATTTTTCTTTCCCCTGCTTCCCCCTTC